AATTCGTATTCATTGTTATCATCGTTGTCCTCATCATCAGAATCCATGGAATCTGGCCTCAGCAAGTGTGGTATCATTGCTCTTGCAGCACATTGATTGTAAACTGTGTGTTCGTCAGTGTTGGTTTTATGCCAGTCGTCATCTTCTGCCTTGGAYAGTGATCGCTGCAGTTCTGCACCTATGGTGCTGTCTTCCGAAGGGTTGAATTTCTCTCCTATAGCGAAGTGAAAGCACAAAGAATGAGACTGTTGCCAAGCGAATAGATAGATAGCTACAATTCTGGACAAAAAGGTTGAGAATAACTCACCCTTCGGTCAGTTCAACAAAAACATGCTCTCTAACTCCTCCCCTCCCCCAAAACAATGTTGTTAGCACTCAAACAGAATCCAGAAGGTATGTGAGCTCTCTAAAGTACAACTTTGAGCGAAGGGGGGCGGGGGGAGGGCAGAAAAAATAAAAAGTACACAGAGACATTCCAACATTCAGCGATTTTTAAAACATTCTCAACTCTTTTTGTCCAGGATTGTATATTAGATAGCATTAATGACTTACTATGAAGTGATCTGAGTAGGCTTGTCTTTCCGGATCGRGATTGKCCAACCAGAACAACAGGYACACGACAATTTTTTACTTTACCCTTTTTCAATGCTGCTTGATAGGCAGTTTGTGCTTTTGGGCCACGTGCAAGGATCTCTGACGGAACTACATCTGTATGGATAAAGATACTTTGATTGGTAAAMAGTAGATTTAGCATATAATAAGTGAAAAAAGAATATACACCAACCTGATTTATTTCCAAATTCCCTGAAAATAAAAAAAATGGCATAAAAAGGTTACTTTGTCATCTTTGACAATGTATTGTATTTCTTTGGTATAAATATATAGATAACTTTTTCTTTGTATAAATGTAAAGAGAAGCTTTCGCTGAGGTATTCTACATCATTGGTGTTCAAATGGAAATGTAAGTTTTTGAAGGAATTGTATACAGTCAATCAAATTAACGTTGTTCACTTGTAAATACAAAAACATTAAAATAAAATTAGTCCTCGTCCTAAAAAATGTCGTTTTAAAAATTAATCTTTGGTTCCATGATTACGTTCCATGGATCACCAATTCTAATGTTGAATGTTTCTGACCTTGCAAAATTTCTTGCGCAATTTAGCAGATGTGGTACTTGTTCAATTACTTGTTTTGAAGTCATAGAAGAACAATTATCAATAAGGAGATGGATGTCCTAAGTTTGAGATATAATCAATATATGTCTAGTATATTAAATTTATAGTTATTCTGATTGATTCACACATGAAATCACGAATCTGAGTTGACGTTGAAATATGGACAAAAAACCCTATCTGCACAGTTTTCGAATAAGTTTCTTTGTTAAGTACACTAAAAAAGAAAGGTCTGGATGCAACTGAGGCTAGGAGTCATGAAATCAATATCTTTTTTTCTAGATAATAATTGGGATTTTAAGAAAAACTGAACGAATTTCCTATCATAACATACCAAGTCATCAAATCCTTGAACATCGCCATGACTTTCATGTGACAACCGAGCTGTGAATTGCTTTCCATCAKGGGWTCTRACCCTATAGGAGCTACGTTCAGATACTCGRGAGTAWCKGACATCAAAGTCTTCGGGGCAATTTTCTTGTGACAAGTTCATTTCTCCCTGTTCGGTAATTTTCAAGTTCTTTTTGACGTAATCATATAACTTCAAAGCCTCTTGACGTTGTTCATCTTCTAGACTCGAGGKCGATTTAAAAGCTATATGAAAAGAAAAGAAATAWCTGGGCTCTAGTTATGATTTTCTTAGAGCAAAGGTTTTCCTAATAGTTAAAAACAKTGACTTACTTGCTTCGGCTATCAGACGAATGTCCACTTGTGCTGAAGGTTCAAAGATGTCAAACAAATCTCTTTTAGGAGTCGAATCGCA